TTTTTTTTGCCGGTTTGTTTTTTTGATGTTTGTATTCTCAGTCTGCATTGTTTGTTCGTCAAATTTTTTGACGACATTGCTTGTGGTGGTGCGGCGAAACCCCCCAAATTTTTGGTCTTCCATTAACCATCTCTCATCCGCACATCACATGCATGACATGGTCACCATGCTCTGCCCTCATCTCACACATCTGCCAGCACCTCACATGCACCGCGCCGCCTTGCTCCCCACCCTACTCCCCACCCTGTGTCTCCACATCACTTGTCTCTCATTCACAGTGTGCCCACGTCATGGGCATGGCATGAACATCGCTATTGTATTCGCTATGATCACAGTGCTCTACACTGCCGCGATGTCACTGCCAAGGCATACACATGTCAACTGTTCCAAATGTGTGTCTCCACATCATGCCGCTCTCACGCACAGTTTGACATCGCCATGCCATGAACGCTGCTATTGTATACGTGCACCATGCTACACGCATGCAAGGCTACACGTGCCCGTACCTTTTTCAGTACGCCGACCTTTTGCGATGTGCGAAGCGGGCCAGAATACAAAAAAGATATGGCCAGCAACAGTGCGGGAAAAAAACAAAAAAGGTGGCCTGCGCGCGTGCAAAATACAAAACGCTCTGCGGTACCCTGACGGTCCCACCCGCCATCGGTTTCTGCTGGGGGGGGGGGGGTGTCAGCCGATACACGCTCAGCATGCTACACCATGCAAGGCTGCACACGCCCAAACTGCACGTGTTCCTTTTTCATGATGCTGACCTTTCTCAAACGCCACCGGCCTTTCTCTTTCGGCTACACACTCGCTGTTTGATTCCTTTCTTTTGCTATGTGTGAAGCGGACCAGAAGACGGAAAAGAGAAAACGGCCAGCAACGAAGGGGGAAAAAAAAAAAAAGCAAGCGGCCTATGACACTTGCAAAAACAAAACGCTCTGCGGTACCACGACGGTCTTCCCGGCCATCAGTTTCTGCTGGGCCCGCCACTCGGCTTCAGCCGAGGCTCGCTGCTCACTTTACGAGGTATTAATGCATAGACATCATTGCAGACTGATATCTTTCAACAGAGCCTGAACCCAGACTTCTACATTCAGGCGCTGGACTATCATTAACCACTTGACATCTACCGGACCCTTCCAAGGCCCAACCGACTTGCTGGAATATCCCTACGTGACCTGTTATAAATTCTATTTATGTCCCTGGCTGCTTCTCTACCCCCAATGTGGCCCTGTTGCTTTCTGTCCTGTCCCTGGCGATACCCCTGTTTGTCCCTGTGCGAGACAGCCACACAACACAGCCAACAGAGTTGAGCACCCAGGAACTGTTTGACTCAGGCAAGCACATTGGATACATAAATTAGCGGCAGCTCACATATACATGGAAACATAGCAGACTAATAGTTCAAAAGTGCAGCGTCTTCTCAGAAAAGTGCAGAATTCTTGGAATGCAATTGTGCGGATCATTGCAATTCCAAAAATAAAAAAAATGAACTCCAGTTAGCTATTCTTTTTTATAGGGTTTAGTGTGACGTCTGGTTTCTTGGCTGTGGTTACAGGAATCATGGTAACTCAGTGTAAGTAGTATTTTGCACTTTGGAGCGTTGCATTCTTGTCTTGCTCGTCTTGTATATGTATGTGATGTATATAAAGACAGGTATATGCGGAGGTGCAGATGTTAAAATAAAAACAGCCAGATGCGGACGAATACACAGAAGTTGCATCTGCTTTTTGCGGTGCAATGTTTACGGCTATGGACGTTTCTGTTATGTGCATGTGTGAGAGAGGCAGATAGAGGGACGGCTTGCCCATTCATATTTGCTGAAGCTTGGATCGGATCACTATTGTCTCGGTGCATAGAATTGATGTCCCCAATCCGGTTTCCACCCTGTTCTTACATAGAACAATATTGAGTGTGTTTGTAACATGGCTGTTTTGATTGTGTTTTCTATGGGAAGTTGATGCGATGCATGTCTGTCAATACACTGCAGATGTGAGATGTCTCATTTGTTCTGTGATTCCAAAATTGACCGAATCTTCAAGATTTCTATGTATGAATTGTCATGTCCGTAATTCTCTGGTCATAGCTGCGTTCTAATCTGTGGCGGCAATGTTGTCAGATCAAAGAAGATTTGAGAAGGCCAATCTATGGGTCACTTCTGCGTCTTCTGGGAGAAGGCGACCCCGCTGTTCAGGTATGTAGCAAGGGCTCAACTCAGTTCATTTGTAATATACTGGTATTGGTGGCTTCGGTCAATTGTAAGTGCATGTTATGGGGGGTATTCTTTCTGGTAAGCAGCTCTCTATGTGGGGTGTAGCTGTATTATAAGCTCATGTTCTATCTATCTAGTATGTATTGACCTAAATGACGCTTTGAATCTTCATTAACCACTTTCTCTGACCTTGTGGCCTCTGGTGATACACATTGTTGCAATGAATCCCAGGTTTCAGTGGGCTGTGATACACATCGTTGCAATGAATCCCAGGTTTCAGTGGGCTGTAAACTAAGTTTTTCTACCTTTTCGTAGATTTGAGTCCTTCGGGGTTTGATCCCTCTGCCTCTACCATCTACCAGGGACTGCTCTTACGCGGACTGCGTCTGTGGTCCCCAAGTCTTGATCCCCGTACCTGTCCCTTGCAAGGACGTTTTCTTTTGTTGTAGGCCGTTGTTTGCCCTTTTCCGTTTTCACCTGTTTAGGTCTAGATACAGGGAGTCGTAGGGTACTTGCTTGGGTTTGTCCTAGGCTGTAGGTCGGTACGCTGTCAAGTCTAGAAGTCGTGAGGGAACAAAAGTCGGGTCTGCTTTCCAGTTTCTTTTCACGAAGGGCAGCTGGAGGTTGCACTCAAGGCCGCCGCACTATTTCTGTCTGTGCAGCCATCTTCACCGGGTTTGGTCCTGGCACCCAGGCCAGTCAACTACCTGAGACTCGGCGCATGCCTTCTAGGCCAGGTGCTGCAAAGCGCATCCTCATTTTTGCTGTGCTGTTGGGGTTTGACATCGCTGCCTCGAAAGCTCTCCATGCAAGTGCTCTTCGAAGTGGGAGCCATCTCTTCTTCATCGTGTTGGTGTTCTTCTTCGTCATCCTAGGAGCTGCGCCCTCCTGCTGAGTGGACTCTTCATGCGCAGCTGGGAATTGAGGTCGCTTCAGATTGCTTTGCCGGACGCAGAGGGTTCAGGGTTGGTAGCTTAGTTTCCTCCGTCCTCCTTCATTTACACTGCGTGAAGTGGCAGACAAAGGGTTCTGCTGCGGGCTTGAATCTCCTGTGGTAACTCGTCCACGGGCTCGATGAAGCGTCACCACACCATCCAGTATTTTGTAGGGTTGTGGATGGCCGTTGATACCTTTGTTGCTGGCGTCGACACTGTGGTCGGCAGCTGAGGCTGTCACAGCTGGCAGGTGGAGGGAGGCTTGATGTTTCCCTCCCGGTCGGGTTCGAGTGATGGTAGGTCGATGAAGGGGAGGCAGAGGGAGCTTTTCGAGGGACTCTTCATGGAAGAATAGCGCTTCCAGGAGGAAGGAGGACATTGACGACCTGATTTGAGAGGCCTTATTTTTCGAGTTTGACATATCGCCATCTCAAGTGAAGACTGCCGCAGGTGATGCAGTTTTGCGTGTCGATACTATTTCAGGGCTTCAAGTTCAATAGTGCTTTCTGATTGTTGTTCCATGATAATCGGTCTGACTTTTTACCACTTGTTTGTCTTTTCTATTCTGATTTCTAAGTTCGTAGTGTTTCTGATTTGGTTGTTCCATGAAAATCGGTTTGACCTTGTACTACGTGTTTGTCTCTTTTATTCTGATTCCTCAGTTCACATGTCGTAATTCTTGATGTTCATCAACATGATAATGATCTAATCCAGATTTTCTGAATTTCGAGTGAATCTTGATTGTTTCTGAAATAACTTCTGGGCAATATGTCTTAAATTGGAGATTTGTAAATCAGAGCTCAGCTCTGATCTCAAAGGATGAATACCGATAACGATGGGCAAATGGTTTTGAAGTTCTTGAAATTCAGTCTAATTTGCCAGTAACTCTCTGGAATTTTCTTCTTAAAGTACAGCTTATTCTCAATTCGATGTTTGCAAATCGGTGTTTGCTCCGATCTCACAAGTAAATTGTCAACTAATGGATTACTAATTAACTGAGTCCTAGTCGATTAGTCTAGTAAGGTGTGAGTTGCTAAAATTGTAGAGCAGAATCAGCTTCGGTCTCAAATGGTGACTACTCAAGTAAGTTATTTTGTTGTTCTTAGCAATTGAGCCTCAGTCCGTGATGTTGTGGGATCGGGGTCATAGGTGTTGAGTGGATAATCTCCTTTAGGGTTGGAGTCCCTCCCTGCGAGGGTACACAAGGTGGGTGGTGTGATCTCTGAGAGGGTAGGGGCGGTATTGAGGGTTTGTCCTTTAATGGGCCACACTGATTTTTGGGTCGGATCAGCTATGGCAGTTGGGGAGAAAGGACAAGGGGTGCTGATGTCAGCAGGGTAAGAGTTGAGAGGGCTGTTCCACTTGGAGGGGGTGGGGTAGGAAGGAAGGGGGATCTTCGGCTCTGCGGGGGTATATTAAGGGGTTCTGTATGCGACTGAGGGAGCAGGACGGTTTTTCTGGGGGCTGTTCTGAACTGGGGCAGGGAGGTGGGGGGGCGCCTTCCTGCGGAGGCAGTGAACAGACAGGGGGTTGTCTTTTGGGGGAGAGGAGTAATCCCTTTGGTTCCTGCGACCCCTTTACATGTAACTGAGACTTCGATAGGCGCTGGAGTTTCCATGGGGTTTCCCCTCTCCCTGTGGGAATAGTAGGCGCTGAAATGCTCATCTGATTTTTGGTAGTGCTGGTATGACGGAGGGAGATGATGTGCTCTGCGGCGAAGGGGCTAGCCTGTAGGGTTGAAATAGGGTACAGCAGCGGTGGAGAGGTGGCTTCACCATGGTAAGACTTGCCGGAGTAGGGCTGAGAGGGTTTTTTTGGGGAATATCTGCAAACAGTGCATGAAGGAGATGAATGTGAAACGGTATTCACCTGTGCGCAGTAGCGGATGCAGATCCCAGGGCTCGATCCCTAGACTTACCTTACCTGTGTACAGTATCTGTGTCGACCCCGAGAGTTGAACCCGTGACCTGTGTATTTGTAACAGTTGGTAGACTGTCGTAGGGTCCGTAGGTAGTAGGGGCTCGATCTGTAGACCTGTCGGGTAGGAGTCTTAGTCAGGTCTGTAAGTCGTAGCTGTAGCTCCGCCGAAAGGTCAAGGTCGTAGCTGCTACAGTATCGAAAGGCCAAGTGCACGGCCTTGCGGAAGGTCCCAGTAGTGGCCTTTCGAATTTGCTCACGTTTAGACAGAGGCACGTCGGCAAGTGGTGTGCCTGACTGCAGTACGTCGACAGTGGGACTGCATCGAGTTGGCAGTGCAAACCCATGCAGTCAGCAGTACCGGTCCCAGTCAGTCCTAGTCCAGTCAACCAAGTACCGCATGGGAATGTGTGCACCAAGGGCATGGGAAAGGGCCAGACCAACGAGCCTCAGAAGTATAAATCAAAGGGCAGCGCCCAGCCATTCATTGATTCCTGCGTGAGCCATGCGGAAGCGCTGCCACAGCGACTTGTGCGAGGTGGTCTGCAGCGAGCCCGAAGACTAAGTGGGCGAGAGAGAAGGAGCTTAGCCATAGCGATAGATTAGCAGCGGCCATAGCTGCCATAGCTGTAGGTAGAGTGTAGCGTGTGTGTGTGTATGTGTGTAGTACAGAGTATCGCGTGTGGGATATCCAGGGTGATCCTGTGTGTGCGAACAGAGAGTTGTGTGGGCACTGTGTCGCCATAGCCATTGAAGTGAACTTGTGTCTGAGCTGCGTTCTTGGTTACCGTATCTTTGAGGTCTGAGTTGGCGCCTGTCGCCAGTTTGCTGTGCACCTGTTTGCATGCATGTAAAGTGTGAATGAAAGCGAGTCTGATTGCATTGGTATCGGAGCTGGTACCCGCTATTCCAGGCGCCGTCGTGTACCGCAGGGAGAGCTACGTGTGAAGTAGCCATCGGAGAAGTCCGCCATAGCGGACCCGGAGGTTGAAGAAGCCGCCGCGCGCACCTGCAAAGAAGACCACGACGAAGAGAGAGAAAGGGAGAGAGAGATGAGTGATACAAGTTTGGTTGTCACATACCTGTGAAGTGTGCCGTGCAGTCCCACGAAGTGAAGAGGCGGCCATAGCCGCGGAGCTCCACCACAGAGTAGCGAAGAGGGTGAAAGAGAGGACAGAGGGAGAGACCGAGAATGGTGAAGGAAGCCATAGCCAAGGAGGTGAAGGGAGAGACTACCGAAAAAAGAAAAAAAAAAGAGAAGATAGCCGGGGTGAAGAAGGAGGAGGCGAGGTAGAGAGAAGGAAGGAGAAGGGTGGCGACGAAGGAGGAGCCGGCCGCCATAGCCGGAGTTGACCGGGCGTTGATCGGAGTTGACCGGGGGTTGATCGGGGGTTGATTGCAGCGTTGACCAAGGCGTTGACCAAGTTTGTTGACCGCGATTTTGACCAAGCTGGAGCCGGTATAATCTTGCCAAGCCTTCAGCCTATCCCCTCGCCCTATGGATGTGCACACACCCTGTGGTACGTGCTGAGTCAAGTCTGTCCGTCTCTTCTTTCTGCATTGAGTCTCTTCTGTCCAGGTGATAGGAAATCTGTGGATGAAGGATAGGGCCTTGTTGACCAAACCCACACGGGCTGAGTAGGGCTAAAGACTGTGTCTGACAACTCGATTGTCCCGGAGGACATGAACCCTCCCAAGGACCGGTACTGACCGGCGGGCTGCTCGGTGTGGCACGGTAGGCCCAAAATCCGAGTTGTGGGCTGCACAGCAGGCCGTCTAAGTCTTGAGAGGACCTGCTGATCGCGTCGCCCTGTCTGCGACGTTAAATAATTCCTGAGGAGTTACAGGGGATCTCCTTAAATGCCTCCTGATCAGCAACAGGTCCTGTAGTGACAGCCTTAGAGTAGGTCTAGGCTAGAGATCCTAGTTGACAGGATTCTGTTCGGATTTTGTAAGTCTTTAGATTGAGTCAGTAGGTTTGTCAGTCAAGGGGGTAGAGTCAGTGAGGAGTGGAGCCGTTGACCGGTTGTGCACCCAGCACCATGGTGGACACGCGTAGTGGAAAGAGCACTGCCCCACAGTCCGAAGCCGAGCAGGCTCTGATCGCTGCCATATTGAGAGAGAGAAAAG